TCAACATGATGGCCTTAGGTTCAGAACTGGCTGATAATCGATTGTCTATTGTTGATAATCGATTATCATGCTGTGCAGCTTCTGTCCCCAAAGTCCTGCAGACTGTGATAGTCGATTGTCACCTTATGAAAATCGATTGTCAAGTTGGTTTGTTCGGGAAGTCCTAAGTTCAGAGAGCCCTGATAATCGATTATTGCCTATGTGATAATCGATTATCAGTGAAGCCAACTCAGACCCAAGAATCCGCAGGGCCTGATAGTCGATTATCACATATGTGATAATCGATTATCACGCTGTGCTGAATCAATTGAGGAGTCCAGCGTGGCCTGATAGTCGATTGTACTATCCTGTAACTCGATTATCAAGGCACGCTGATTTCCATTTTATCTGTTTGTTTGTCATCAAAACGTTGGAAGTTTTAGAAACGAATGTTTACATTTCCATGCTAGATAATCGAATAACTTACAAGGTTTCAAAACATTTATAATAACGAGTACATAACTTGATAACACGGACACACGTATGTTTGATGGTTAACCTACGAACATGCATAGATTCTACGTAGGTTGCGCACGACATTCCTATGAATATAACGACATAGATTATGACTTGATGTTCTAGAATTAGAGGGACAACTACTCACCTCTAATGAAGGGATTGACGGAACGATGGAACAAGATGAACGAACGGTTGTCAACGTTGAACGACGAACGAATGAATGAACGACTCCTCGCGTAGCCCTCCTTCTCTTCTACCTCCTCGTCTTCTCGCCGGAAGACTCCTCGCCTAGCTGCCGCCGTGATTGGCCGAACACCATTAGAGAGAGAGAGTTGTGATGTTGAATGGAAGTTACAAGTTGGTGAAGGAGGTGAAGGGAGGAGGGAGTTTTATAATCATGTGAATTTATGGGGATTTATGGATGTATAATGAAGGAATAATGATGGGGGTTATGGAAAATGAAGGGTGTAGTGGCGTGTGGTTTTGAATGGGAGTTATCTCCCTAAATTACACTCCGTTGTGTAAAATCTGACCTGAACGGTATGCGGTTTTTCCCCCGATCAGGTTTGAATTGAGGTCCGGTTGCGTTTTTGGAATCAGTCAGTCAAAACGAATTTAATGACATGTTCAAATAATTTTTCTAGGAACTTTATTTTCAAACTTCCGGGTCCACCCCAATCATTAATTAATTTATTTAATTAATGTTGAAAGGTCCATTATTAAAAGATCTTTTTATAATAAAATACATTAGCTTTGGAAAGCCATTTAAAGAGATTGAAATCTCAATACTTATTAATTTAAAATAATGAGTCTCAATAAATAAATAATATTTATTTATTTAAAACTAGGCCGGTTTGTAGGGCGTTACAATTATCTCCCCCTTAAAGGAATTTCGTCCCCGAAATTCTCTCCAAGTCACCGTCACGTGTTTAGGGAGATAGTGCGTTACCCAAAACTTTGTTTTGTGAAGCATACGTGGGCATAATAGATTAAAGACCAATTGACGAATTTCATTCAAGGAACATATTTGGTTTAGATAAGTGGGACGAAATGTTGCATTGATTACGGCTTCGACTATGTCATAATTTAGCAGGCAACCCACTCCCACTCGCCTAGTCGGGCTGAGTCCACTGGAGGATTATCCCCACCTGCGCCGTAGATGCTATTAGCAGAGTCCACGCTGAACGTTTCCTCTAGGTCATCTCTTTCCCATGCTGCCTTCCGGCGCTTCCAGATTCTTAACTTTGCTATCCGAGCCTTGCGGTGTGCACGTTGGTAGCGCTCTTTTGAATCGTAACTTTTCCTCTTGTTCTTTCGTCTCTTACCGAGCACGAAGGTTCGACTGGAGTCAACGCTTGACACGTTTCCGGTACTGATGGTACTCATCTAACGATTGTACAGTATCAAAATGGGGAACAAGTGAGCGTATAACGCAATTAGTATGACGCTTCGATGTGCGCTCACGTGCTCAGGCACTCCTATGTGGATCTACCTGTCCGTCATTACCTACTACTTGGCTCATTCTCTATAAGAAGAGCTTAAATCAAAACTAATTACAATATGACATATAAATGAATTAAATAACGGTGTACCTTTCCCTGGAAGTGATGTGATAGAAGATGCGGCTGTGGACTTTTTGAATATACTCTTTGACCAAGATGACAAAATATGTTTTTTTTTGTTTTTTTTTCACAAAATAGAACTGCTCTGATACCAAATTGTAACACCCGCCTTCCGTGGACCCGGTTCACCGCAACTCAACGGACCGGTAGGGTTACATGGGCGGTCCGAGAACCGTCCGTAGAGGAAAATGCATTAATGACTATTTATTATGGAAACGGTTGAGTTTAATTGGTGAAATAAATGCTAGGGAATTAATTTCAAAACATGTGTGATTTAAATGCAGAGTAAAAGCAGAAGTAAATTGACTTTAACAGAGTCAAAATTGGGTGTTTGACTTTAACAGAGTCAAAATTGGTTTAATTGACCTTTCTCATAAAAGGTTCTCTCATTTAATTCATATCAATTATTCTCATGATTTATTTCAATAAATCATTACAAAGTTCACATCATAATTAATTAATTTATTTATTCTTGATTTGGGTCTGTACTCAGGTTCCCAATCAAGACCACACAAATAGTCCACATATTGGATTTATCTCGATTAGACTTATCCAGATTTTGATATTGGATATTAAAAAATATTTCATATCGGCCCAAAGCCCAATAATAATCAAAACAAATTTGTTTAATCGAATAATTATTTAATAATAATTCTAGGGTATGTTTCGGGGCGTTACAGTGCTGGTTTAAAAAATATGAAAGGGGATGATAGTAACTAGTTTGAGCACGAAGGTTGATAGTTTGAGCACGAAGGTTGACAGTAACATCCTCAACGAAACTAGTACCAAGAATGAATATCCGAAGTATAAGAGTACAATTGGACAGGGTGGGCAAAAGTCAGATTTGGAGAAGTATATCGATGAGTTTGATGAAGATGATGATGAGTTTGATATTCTTGGATGGTGGAAAAAGAACGGTCATAGGTTTCCTATTGTTTCTAACATTGCTCGTGATGTTTTGGCCGTTCCGGTGTCCACAGTTGCTTCAGAATCTTCTTTTAGTACTGGAGGTCGTGTTCTTAATTCATATAGGAGTTCTTTAACTCCTAAAGTAGTCCAAGCTCTAATTTGTTGTCAAGATTGGTTACGTCAAGGAGAGTATTGTAGTATCCACGAATATGAGAGTGATGTTTCTGAGTTGAACAAATTAGATGAAGGTGCGTCTATGAATATAAATTTGTATTATACGATCTAATATCCGTTATTTATTTGAGTATTATTGATTTACTGCTTATGATTCATAAGTTTTAAATGCTTTCAGATTTGTCTAAGCTCAATTTGGATCCTGTTATTGATGCTTAAAGATGGGTAATGTACTAATATAATGTATTCGGTTTGTGCTATTATTTATAATTTGTGAATTTGAAGCATTCTTATTTGACACATTTTCTGTTAGTTGTATCTAATTGGTTCATTTTTATCCTTTCATAGGTTGTGATCTTGTGGATGATGGAGACCCTAACAATGTTTTGATGGGATCAAACATTGAAGTCATGGGATCATATTTTTATTTTGCTACCGTTTGAACTTATCTTAAACTTTACTTGGACTATTATTATTTTGGTACTTTGGGTTGTGTTCTTTTGGCTAATGTTTTGGAGTCTTTTTTTTGTTCTTGTAATGTTCTTAAACTTCCCCAGCATGGCAGATTCCAGATTGGCAGCCCCTTTTATCTTCACTTATTAGTACTTTTCTTTTACAAGACCTATTAACTGTTATGTAATATGAAGTCTCAATTTCCCCTGCCCCTATACTTAATAGTTTTTTTTTGCTATGTAAAATTCAATTTTCCCATGCCCCTACCTATTTCTTGTATATGTAGTTCAGTTTTTAATAGCCGACCGAAACCGTTCGGTTAAAACGGTTTCGGTTTTTTAGATAAGAAAAAATAATTCGGTTAGTTTGGTTTTTATCCGAAACCGGCCGAACCGACCCGACACTCACCCCTAGAATCTATCACAGCAGGCCATAGGTATGCCTTTGCCTACCCAACTTTTTTCTATTTTCTACTTTAATTTTTTAAATAACATGGAAACTTTTTATACTCCCTCTGTCTCATTTTAAATTGCATGTTTGCCTTTTTTCTCCGTCCCAAAATAAATTGCTTGTTACTTGTTTAAGGTGTAAAACTGCAAATGAATTGTTAACTCTTAATTTACGAAGTTAACAATTCATTTAACTGTAGATATTCGTACAATCAGTGTTAACAATTCATTTGACTGCAATAAACTTTTGAGTTAACAATTCATTTGACTGTCATACAAAGTTTAAAGTTTATTATTATTATTATTATCATCATCATCATCATCATCATCATCATCATCATCATCATCATCATCATAATATCATCAATTAAGTCTGAGCATGTTCGATAAAATTTGTAAAATGTTAAATGCATTTTGTTGGAGTTCGAGAAAAACTTTTTTTTTAATACACTACTCGTACAAATTAGGATAATAACTTTGGTGCCAAATACCTTTACATAGTATCAAATTAATTAAAACTGCAAAAAAGAAAAAAGTTCCTATGAAATTCAAATGTAGATATTCGTACATTCAGAGTTAACAATTCATTTTCTGTACTAGACGAAGAAGAATGCTACTCTGTATATAACAACACATCAACACCCAAAGGTATCACGTTACTGGAATTTCATAAAGAACGCAGAAATGAAAGATAAACTCTTCCAGGCAACATGCTTGCAATTGAACAAACTTGAGTAGCTCAATCCATCGATTACCTTATGGTGTCATACAAAGCCCATCCAACCAATCAGATCAATTGCATCTGATGATAAATAATATAAGCCCCTTTAATCTTGATCTACAGAAAGTAATCAGGTGGTGGTTTTTTCGCGGGAGGCCCTCTTGTTTCTTGCTGCATACATGAAAAGAATGAGATATATTGATTTTAGAGTAAATTCAACTCCAGTAGACAGCAATGCACTGAATATCAAGGAATTGCTCGTGTCATTATTACTCTCCCCGTGCCAAAACCGGATCTTTCCACTTTGCTTCACATTAATAAAAAGACACTTTTATCATCAACAACCTAAATATTTACTACGTACTAACTATTACGGAGTACTTCATTTTTACTAATCCCAAAAAAATAAGTAGGGGCTCTGAGATAATTTTGCTTCCACTCTTAATTCTAGTCACATGAGATGATCCATTTGAGACGGGAGTAAAAAATAAGTCCAGAGAGCTTAATTAGGATTTAGTAAGAGCGGGAGACCTGAGGAGCTGCTTCAAATACACGGAACTGCTTGTTGAGATTCTCATCGAGCTCAAGAATTGCTGCAACATTCCCACATCTGTTTTACAGAACAAAAAGACCGAGTATTTTACCGTTTTATTGTGGCCTTGTGGGATGGGAATATGGGATGGAATATGATAAAATATGCTACAACCCCATATTGCTGATGTCACCTGTAGCAATAGTTCGGAGCAGACCAAACAGTGACTATCTGATTACTAAACATCCACTTATATCCTTCCATTACTAACTGGTGAGCACGGCATATATAGTCTACATTGTTTGTGTGGTTGAATGTTGAGACAGCACCGCCTCCAAAAAGGAAACCCGCACCTCGAGGACTCAAACCCCAACCATCAACGATGTCTTCAGGATCAGACCATAGTAGATCACACATCGGACCATCATGTGGCACTTCTTGCTTTCGGTCGATTATTCTAATCTGAAGCATTAACAACGTCAATCTATATTCAGGTTATGACATATGCATGCAATGGATTCAGAAATCAAACCTGGTCTATTGTATTTATATTAGGAGAAAGACCACCATGAACACAAAATACATTGTTCTCAATTAGAGCTGACAGGCTGCAACACGTAAGTGTAAGAAAAGTTAGACTACATAAATTGAGCAAAAACATAGCTGTCATGCACCCATTAGAATTCTATTCTAGGTGTTCTTAAGGCTAAGAGTCTACCTAGATAGGTATTAATGTGTGCATTCTAAAAAGATCATTTTGCAATGAATTTTTCATTTTATATCAGGCTATTCACCAAGGAAAGAGATCCCAGTCTACGCAATTAAACATCAGGGAAAGGGCAGGAGTAGTATGTATAGAATGCTATATTAATGAATGAGGAAAGCTTAATGTATCCAAAGATATGAGGATTTGGCATCAGAGGTATCTCATAGCACTGATATGATTAATTTAATATGGAGTACAAAGAAACAAACCGAAGAGATTCATTGAGTATGTGAATGATGGATTTATTGAGTCCATGCAACTTAGTTTAGCTTTTCAATCTCTAATGAAGTTATAAATTATCCAAAGAGAAATAGCACCAGTATCTTGAAAGTAGCAAACCTTAAGTAATCAAAGACATCTGTGCAATATCTCCATACGTTAACTGAGCCATATTTCCGAAGGCATTCGTCATAGAATCCATAAACCTGAATAGTTCAGAATACATTTAGTTACCAACACAAGTGTAGCTATGGAATGATGGAGGACCAACCTGTGTGATTTGGCGGCTCTCATGGTTACCTCTGATTAATGTTATGCGATCAGGATACCTCACCTGATTTTTGCATCATCAGTTAGTCAAAATGTTTTCTAAGAAACTGCCGTAGTTAAAATCATAGTATTTGTTTCCAAATACGATTAGTTCAATATCATTTCAATCCAGTAGAAAAGTAAATATAGGAAGGAAAGGATCAATGTTGATTGAAAGACATCATAAATAATAGAAAAGGAAATAGAGTAACAGAATTAAACTTGGATAAACCAAAAAAGGCATGTAAAAACTGAAACTAGCTTCATGAACAGGCACACATATGAAGGTAGTCCATGCTCGGACAAAATCCCACTAATAAAGGATATTTAACAAAAAATAGTAGTCTCAAAGAAAGTTCGTAGTAGTCAATTTGTGACAAAAGTAGTCAAAACATCCTCGGAGTATACATTTCCTATTCAAAGCATAAGAGCTTTTGCACACTTAAAAAAATACTACCTTAAGAGCGAGCATAAGCAGAAATGTCTCCACAGAGTAAAATCCTCTGTCAACAAAGTCTCCTAGAAACAAATAATTAGTCTTTGGGCACTCTCCACCAACATTGAAAAGCTCTTTCATGTCATAAAACTGCCCATGGATATCACCACATATCTGCATTAATAGAAAGTGGAATGGCTCAACAAATTGTTTACATCTATAAAAAATTGAATGAATTGCGTCAATAAATACAAAGCATTGCAATTGTTTAAAGAAAAATTAGCAATAAAAAGCCGCTAAAGATCCAATATTTTCACTTACTCACAAGCAAATGAATACATTTGAGCACAACTGCATTCAAGAACTGTCAACTTTTCCTCCAAACCCATTCATATGTGTTCACCAAGACATTTCAAAATTAGAAAAAAAACTATCCTAATAATCCCTGTGGCATTGTCTAAAAACTAATACAATGCAGATATGCAGTCAACAAGGTGGATGTCAACCTAGTCTACTCCCGGAAATGAACCCTGTGCCCTCATTCCAACCTTGTAGGCTTACATAGTGCCAGATATCTCTAAAAAAGTGGCACAAAAATATGTTGATAAAAAGTTAAAACCAAATATCTAATGTCATTGAAACATATTTAAAGTACATGAAATATCACAATAGCATAAAATAACTGAGTTAAGAAAGATACATTGTAGGTAGCTGTATGAGTACAAAACTAGAAATGATCATGCACCAAACATTCCTACTGAATTTTTTTTGCAATTACTACTTACTTCCATCTAGCTTCAGTCTATTTCACAATACAATAAAAACAATCCAGTAGAATCCCACGAAAGAGGGTCTGGACTGGGTGTGTGTACGTAGACCTAACCCCTACTCGAAAGTAGAGAGGCGGTTTCAAAGAGACTCCAGGCTCGAACAACAAAGAACACACACACAACACGAACACAAAAGGCAAAGAGAAAAAACTAAGGGTAAAAAGTGCTAAAAGACAAACAAGACCAAACAAGGAAAGCACACACTACAAGAGCCGAAGCTATGTCTTAAAGCCCAAATGACTACCTAACTACCGAATCCAAAATGGTCATATCTTCGGTAAGGCCTAGGAAACTTAAGTCAGGTCTAATCACCTCTTTCACAATATAAAAGGTGAATAAAAAACTACAAAAATGTCACAAAGCAATGTTTCCTAATGAATGAAATTCTATCTGAAAAAATACAAACATCTTTATATGGAGTCAAAAGAGATAGTTTTAATGAAAACTACTAGCTGCAAAAGATTTCCTCGTTATATTTTGAGCAATTATCATAGCAGGCTAAATCTTCTAAAGCTACAACAACAAACCCAGAACAGTTAAGGAGAAATAACATAATAATAAGGCTTCTAAAACTCTAATCACATTAAAGCCTAAAACATTTATAATAAAAAAATGAAAGTAGCATAGAATTGAACGAACACTATTAGGTGCAGCGCACATAACTGAGCTCCCTATTGCACACGCAGAAGCCTAAATATGGGATCTATAGAGGTATGCTCGAACATGCTTGTTTTTTGCCTTCTCTTTGGGAGATTGATCTAGGACTTACAGTGACAGGGGCGTCGACTCTCTGAACGTTGCTTTCTTCAACGAGGATTTCCATGGCCTTGAGACAAAGAGACTTTACCTCGGACTCCTTCAATGGCTCGCATCTCTTAAGCTGTTCTATTTGTCTGTCTAGGTCTGACATCTTCAACTCCACGGAGCTGCTTCGTTTCAACTCGCGCACTCCAAACTGGCTTCTTTTTTTCCCCCTCTTTCACCAGAAAGTTTATTTTGGGTTGGAATCGAGAAAGCAATTACAGCGCTGGGCGGCGGTGAGCCGCGAGCAGCTCCCCTTTCCGGCCCACACTGTGTCACAGATACGCGATGCAGTTTTGGTGAGGGGTTTTCGGGACTGTCGCTGCTTAAATTTTATTCAATTTTCAGTTTCACCAATGTTGCTTCTTTTATTTGCACGATTTCCCAATCTTAAGTTTCATTTGATATTTGATTTTACTAATGAGTAATGACTAATTCAATCCCTTCAAAAAAAATGACTAATTCAATCATTTTAGAGAAATACTAGATTCACAGATAAAACTGTTAGAAAATTTACATATTATTTGTAAAATTCAATAAAAAATTTAAATAGTCTAAAATAATTTTTAAATAAAAATTTAAACTATAAATGATTAGTTGGTTCTAACATACTAGATAGGGAGTGTTGCTCCCACGCACGGGACTTACGAGTATGATTAATCTGAACCTTTTGAATTCTCTAAAATACCCTTCCTCAAGATTATCGTTTATATTTAAATGATCAAGGATAAACCATGCATTTCCAAAGAGTTAAGGAGTAAACCGTGCAATTTCTGAAGAATTCAAGGGTATTTAGTACACTTTTAAATGTAGGAGTAAACTGTGTAATTTCCAAAGAATTCGGGTGTAAACAATGTACTTTTCTCTTTAATTGCTAGATCTAGATATTAAGACGATATCTGATTCTAGATCCTAATTTTGGCACCCCAACTCCTTCTTAGTACTAAACCTAACAAGACTACTAACCAGACCAAGTTTCTATCTTAGAGGTTGGTTGGCCTAGTGATCCTCTACTCGCCCTTTTCTCAAAAACACACCGTTTAGGATGGATATAGGTGCTTCCCAATTGTGACAATTATTTAGCGTGAGTGTGATAAATAAAAAATAAATTACAAAATAAACTCGTTGGACCTAATGCCTATATACATCTAGTCCTCGCATAACTGTGCCCAAGCCTTCACTTACAACCCCACCAAACTTTGCGGTGTTTGCAAACCTTAGCCACTCGAGAACTTGAGTCACACAAGCCCCTTAACCTATCACCTACAATTTGATGATACAAGTAATATGATTTCACCACTTCACATAGCCCCTACGTTACGATATCTCTAACTACTTGGCATAATCTCAACACCGAGATTTTCTCCCGCCACTTGGTGGCGTATTCCAAACACCAAGATTTTACACTCTTTCTCACACACAAAAAAATCAAACCACAATGTATATACTCTCCAATAGTCTATAAGCAAAATTTTCGAATAGAATATGACAATTGCAACCCTCAAAGACTCGAGCAACGAGGATGAAACTTAAGCAAGAAAGGAATATGATCAACAATGATCACTTGCATGGATATATGATGTTTTCTTTATCAAGAATTCTCTCAAAAGACTCAAAATAATGTTGGGGATCAATCTTGTACGTTGTAGGTTTATAGGGTGAATCTATAGGCATGGAGCGGTTGAAAAACATGTGCTGGAACTATTGGAAACTGTCAACATCTGAATGTATCATTCAATGTATATATTTTTTCAGTCTTATCTAGAAACAATTAACTAATACATTCGAATGTTTAAAAATGATGCATTCGAATGCATCGCGTAGTGTTTACACGATGCTGGAACATTCTTGTGTATGAAGAAGGATTCTTGGCAAAAGATTAGGGATCAAAGAATAACCGCTGAGGATAGTCTAAGAGCTATTCTTAATTCCATATTCTCAAACAAACAAATTAAGACCTAAAAGACTACCCAACTTGGAAGTCTTGAACCTCTTCAGTCTTGATCTTTCACTTGTTACCAAATGTTCCTTACTCACAAACTGAATAAACTCCTTGAAGCTCGTGAATAAATATTGTACTTAGCCTTGATGCTCAAATGGTTTGGCCTTTTTGCCATTATCAAAACCCAAAAGACAATGTGAAATAAAAAATGTAAAATATATCTTCACGTAGTTGTACATTGTCTAACGATTTCTCCATTTTTAATAATGAAAAATGCCTTAAATGATATGTATCATACATGGCTAGTTCCCCTCAAATATTCAGTAATTCAATCAAGAATAAATCTGCATGTCAACAATGTCTTTCACCTTATAATAAGTCTTGCATAAGCCATTCCCCCTTAACATATGCCAATATACCATTTCCCCTAAACACATGAATATCATCACTTTGTTCCCCCTAAATCTATGCATATCTACATTATCTTCCCCTTTTGATATTATAAAATAGATGAGGGCATAATGAAACATGCTCAAGCAAATAAATATCAAATATGTATATAATTTCAAATTGTCCAACTCAATTTGTATATAATCATATTAATAAACTTAATCCTAAAATGATTCTTCTCCCAAATGTGTGCTTGTAGTTAGAATAAAGGCCAAACATTAGAGGGGGGAGGTGAATAGCATTTAAAAAAAATTGTAGGAAATTCGAAATGAAGTGAGCGGAAAGTAAAGAGTGTAAAGAAAGGCACAACAAATTTATACTGGTTCACCATAACTTGTGGGTAATCCACTTCAATGAGACACTCTCTCGAAGGTCTTACTAACTCTGTTCAGCTTAAGGATGCTTAACAAACTAATACATCTTGAAAACTTGAGTTATACGAGCCTCAACGATGCTTTCTTGGAGATACCGCACTCCAAGACTTCAACCCGAAAGAATATACTCTTCCTTCGTAACTAAGAAGGGAACGGTCCTCCCTTCAAGTGTATACAACCTTTAAGAACTGAAGAAGAACACTCTCTTTAAGAGTAGGTATGAGTAAAGTAAAGAACGCTCAAGAATACATCAATATCTTCAAAAAATGGCTCTCAAAAAGCTTTAAAAAATGAATATGATCAATGCAATGAAAGAGTATTGAAAGTGTGAAGAATTGTGTGTTAAAGTAGATCCAAGATACCTTTTTTTATACCCAAAAATAAGGTGCAATGATTGGGATAAAAAGGGGTTGATTAGGCATGATTTGTGGAAATCAAATCAAAGGTGGTCTACTGAAAAATAGCCTGGACGACGATGTAGCAAGATGTGCATCGCTGTTCTGGTTGTTGACTTTCCTTTTGAATAGCCCAATGCTCACATGAACATCATTCTACAACATCCTTCATCGATGTTCTATAGGTTGACTTTTAAGGGAGGAAATATTTTGTCTTAAATATTTAAAAGGGTCATGAGTGAATATCGATGTTCATACCTGTACATTGTTGTACAAGGTTCAGCTAGGATTTCCCAGACCTGAACAGACAACGTTGTACTAAGTTGTACATCATCGTTCAAGGTTTAGCTGCCAAAACATGAAATTTCCAGGACTTTCCAGAACAGCACTATAGTAACCCCTACCTCATTTTTGGTCTGAAATCTAGAAACCATGTTTCTGCACCCAAAGCCAAAAACCAATGTCAAAAACCAAGTTTTTCCATATTAAAAACCAAATATTGGAAAAACTTATTTGGTGGGTTTAATGTAAAAACCAAGTATAAAAACTTAAAAACCATGTCATTAAGATGAAAACCAAAGATTACCATGTTAAATACGGTTTTCTTGAGTTTTGAACCAAGACCAAAAACCAAAGGTTGTTTCTAGAAACTATTTAAATGTGTCCAAAATAAAAACTAATGTCAGTCTTGATCACAATAAGACCATTTCAAACTAAGTCTAAGTCTTCAACAAGATCTTTGTTCTTGGTTCTTTTGTGCCTTGTGTCATGCCTTGTTTTAAGCCAGAATATGTTCAATGAAGCTTCTTCATATCCATGGAGGTTGGCATTCATCAAAACCTATAAAAAACCAAATGCAACTTTAGTACAGTATCATTGTAAAGTGGGTTCCAACAATTTATGTAACACCCCAACCCGCGTGACCCGAATACAAGGACCAGCGGATTGGGTTGTCACTGATTTGGCATTCAGACACAATAATTTTCAAGACAATTTAAAAACATTTAATTCAAAACATTATTTAAATATCCATTGGAGTTAACAAAACGGTGCGGAAGCCTTTAAGTACTATATCAGAATACAACTTTGGGTTCTTGCCCTTAAAATCATAATTAATTCAAACTTAATATTAGATAATAAACTCCTCTAGCCAGCATCCATCCATCTCTTCGCCCTCGCTGCCCTCCAGGATAGTTCCTTATTCATCATTCATGTTACCTACATGTAGCAAATAGAAAAAAGGGCTACACGCTCAGCATTGAAGCTAAGTGAGAACGATCTAACGTTTCGACTACGCACATACTAGCTCATAACTTCATACAATATCATGCACACAAGTACAATATCAATAGCATCATTAATATCATATAATTCATCAATCAAGCATAATTACCTTAATTAACAACTTATCTCATAATCCGCTTCATTATCTCTAGGCTCATAACCAATCCTAGGCTAAGCCAACTACTTTTGTAACACCCTAATCTGTCTAGGTCTGCAGCCCCTTTCAGATTAAAGTATTAACTTGGTAATCGTAAAAATTTAAAACATTTCAAACACTTTTATTTATCACAATAATATTTTTCATAATATAAACAGTACGGAGTTTTCAATATTGCGGAAGCTTAAGAATCATAATCACAAACATAATTTATTTATGTTCTTTAATTCAAAACCATCACATCCATTCCGACAATCTCGCCTCCGTCTGCCTCCAGGACCACATTACTTCATTCTTTCTAATAACCTGCGTGTAGCAAATAAAACATACTACACGCTCAGCGTTGAAGCTGAGTAAGCATATCTAATGCATCGAACATCCATATAAATTGTATCTCAATTCACAATCAAATCATTTGATATCATGCACATAATGTTCTTTCAGATATTCAATAATCAATATTCAATTTTCAACATTCATTATTCAATCGTTCAACATGTATGTTCTTCATTTGTCATTCAACAATATCCTTAAACTATTCTTAGTCTAAGGCCAATCATTTTAATATTTGTAACCCTTAAATGAATACTAGTTTAACTAATTAAACTATATTCCAGTATACAGAGTACTCCTAATAATCCTTAAGCTAGGCCTAGTTTAAGACAAAAGGGTTTTGGAAATCTTAAACTTACCTTCACTTAAGGCCAACCAA